GAGAGAGAGAGAGAGAGAGAGAGAGAGAGAGAGAGAGAGAGAGAGAGAGAGAGAGAGAGAGAGAGAGAGAGAGAGAGAGAGAGAGAGAGAGAGAGAGAGAGAGAGAGAGAGAGTGTGTGTGTGTGTGTGTGTGAGAGGGAAGCTAGCAGAGCAAGGGAAAGTGAGAGGAGAGGGATAGGATGAAATTTCAATGGGTTTGAAGCTTTCTATGTGCATGAGTTTTTTTTGGTTCAAGGACAACCTCTCCATTCATCCCATTTAAACGAACAGTCGATAGAGCAGGGGCGAAATTACTGTTTCCTATTGCATATAGGTGTTGGGAAGACTTTTCCTATATAAATATATGAATGTGTGTGACAGATACTACAAAAGGCCTATAGACGAAAATGAACAGCGATTTTGTCTACCCTCATCATCGTCCAAAGTTCATTGCGTGATCACGATTATCCGTTAGTGTTTTATTTTTCATTTTTTTCTATAAATTGGAATGATCTGAAATTTGTAACGTGTGTTCATAAAAAATAGACGAATCTATGAAAAATATCAAAAACATAGTTTATATGAAATAAATTGACCAAAATACCTCCGAAACGTTTCAGAGGTATTTTGGCTTTTTTTGCAATTTTTTTTTTGTTTATTAGGTGCGCCTCACTAAGATGTACTGACGCTCCAAATTTTATATCATTTCGATTTGTAGAAAAAAAATAAAAAATAAAATACTACAAGACAATTGTGACCGTGCGATGGACTTTGGATGGTGATGAGGGTAGACGAAATCATATATATATATATATATATATATATATATATATAAGTAATGATCCTATGAGACCCTCCTTCACCCATGTGAGTAGGACCTCAAATGATCACCATTAAATTTAGCACATATCTCTAGAAAAGTCAAGTCCCACACCCATGTGATAACTTTTCTAGAAATGATTACCACATTTAATAGTGATCATTTAGAGTCCTACTTACATGAATGTGAAAGAGTCTCGTAGTGTCATTTCTCTATATATAAATGATATATATGAAAATTATGGACTTATGAAAGTCCAAAATCTCTACCTAAAATGAGATCACGAAAGAGATTCACATTTGATAGGTGTGTCCACTAATGCACCAAAACCCCATCCCTATTTGTTTGTTCATTCATGGAATTGTTGATCCCTTGTCTCTGACAATGGCAATGGTGACACATGAGCCTATTTTGGCATCTTCCAAGTGTAATGTTTTCTACCATTTCAATTAAGATTTCGAGGTACCATGTTTGGTACTTGGGTATTGAATTAGAATATAAGGATACTAATTAAATGGACACTAAGATTTCTTTTACTATTCAAATAGAGTCCACACCGTGGCAAAAATTAGTATATTATTCGAAAATGGTAGTGGCTAACAATTATAAAAATAAGAAGAAATGGAATGGTTGAGTGGAGCTTTTGCTTTTAGGTGAAAGGAGGTAAGGTGGTTGGGAATTTTAAATGGGGAAGATGTCATTCCAAGGGGAATGTTTGCCGGGTCCATGAGGGTTGGGTTTTAAGAATTTATTTATACTTTTACTCACGAATGTATCCATTAGGTTTGACATCCCTAATTGACCAAAATACCCTTGATTTACTTTTCACATTGGAAGGGTGTACAAACGCCATTCCTACATCGAACCACATATCTAATGGTTCAAATTGAATTTCATATTTTATTTTTTATTTTTGTTTAAAATTTAAGGTGTAGATTCTTTTTTTGAAATCATAAAAAATAAAAATCGGTAAATTTTTTATTTTCATAAGATAGTCGACCATAACACCTCTAAAAGTTTTAGAGGTATTTTAGTTAATTTATTTCATTCAAAAAAAAAATTTATATTTTATTTTATAAGTAATTAAAAACATATGTATACCAAAATTTAAGTAAAAAAATGTTTATATGAGGTTGCAACCTTAAAAATGTAGAATTACAAATGCACCTCAAAAATCTATAAAAAATGTTGTTTTAATGTTGAAAAATCCTCTAATTGACGTATGAATATGAAAAAAAAAAAAGATTTCGAGTCCTAAAAATAGTGCATCTTGCAACACATAATTTAGACTGTCCATTTTTTAGATTTTCATATGGTTATAGATCTTCTTGATTTTAACTAATTTTGGAATCTAAAATTTTATAATTAGAGATAAAAATAGATCTTAAGATAATCCTAAAAAACATTTACGCTAAAATTACATATTATGATAAATTTTGAAAGTGATCTTTAATTGGACTGTTTAAGGTTGCAACCTTACGAAAGCCACACCCAAAAATAAATGTTAATTTAAAAATAAAAATAAAAGTAAAACTTAATTTTCAACCGTTTGATGGGGCAGGTTTCGATATGAACTCTTGCAGGGTGCACCATGCACCCTTTTGAGTGTCCATGTTCCTTACGTAATTCTGCGGCACTAAAAAGTTACACATATTATGAGGTCAAAAATACGGATTTTTTGGATATTTGAAAATTTGCAAATTACCTAGGCATCCTTGGAATTTCCTATCAAATTGTAATTTGGTATTTTTCAAAAATTTATTATGATTAGTTTGACATGAGGGGTATTTTATTCACAATTTTGAATTGTCTTCCAAAATAAAATTACGTCTCCAAATCAACTCTTTGGCAATATCACTCTACATTGTTTCGTTGAAGGTTTGATTTTTGTCTCTCTCTGCGTTGTTTCGTAGAAGGTTCAATTTTTGTATCTCTCTCATCTCTTCTCCTCTCCTTTTAATACCATCATCGTTGCAAACACGTCGCGTTCCACCACACCATCACTATCACTGCTACCGCCACAAGCCAAATATAACACTCCATAACACGCATTTATACCTAAAATTGTAATAATCCAATGCAAACAAACACTATATTACAATTCATCTCATTGCTGCTAGTCGATTACAATTTCTTTTTAAAAAAAAAACACAATTTGATAAGTTTATTATTTATAAATTTTAAAATCATTAAATTTATTTTGAAGACAAAAGTAAATTAATGTACTTGAACCAGTATTTGTTGTACATCATCCTCGGTGGATTGATTTAGAGCTTAAAATAATAATGTTAGAACCCAATTTTATTTTAGGATTTAGTCAGGTTTGAAGATGAAGATGACGAAGACTTCAGCTAAAAAGTCTTTTTGGGGACTTGTAACATGGAAATGCTGTTGAAAATAAAAGTATTTTATAAAGAGTGAGGCTTATATAAGGTGCCCTCTCTATAACGTAAGAGTAAGGCGTACTTCTAAATTTTATTTGGCTGGGTTTTTTAAATTTTATGATGATTTAAAATTTTATTTTTATTTTTAATTATAAAATTTAAAATTTTAAAAATAATATAAATTGAATAGATCCATAAAACTTTAAAAATCTTGATAATAGATTGAAAACTATCGAATGCATTATTTTTAAGATTTGAAATTTTTATTACTCGAGGTCCACAAGTTACTCGTTAATATCAATTTTTTCCTCGTAAAAAAGGCAAAATGTAAAAAATTGTAGTAAATTTCAGCGGAAAACTTGATTTTTGTTTTCAAGAAATACGATGGTAAAACAGTCAATTCCATTCCCGCGTAAACAAGGCGGTTCATTGACGACGCGAGTCAGAGCTTGTCCCCAATCCGGACTTTTCCGTCTTTCGTTCCAATTTAATACGGTTATGCGTGATAAGAGCCGTTAAGTACCGCCGTTTGATTAACGCCGTTAAGGAGCAAGAAGAGGCTTATAAAACTGCTGGAAATTATTAGGCTTTTCCCGAGATCCTTCTTTCTTCATGCTGGCGAGTGTGCTTTCTTCTGCGAAAATCAATGGCGGTTGCGGCGCTTGTTTGTGATTTCAAGCTCACTTTGGCTTTGGATCTGAATCTCTCTCTTTAAACATTTATGCGTCTGAAATTCTGGTTTCTTTTCTCTGACGCATGAAGGTGGTGAAGTTTTTCGCTGCAAATACATGGTGATCGAGCTGGTGAGTGCTTGTTCTCATTGTTTCAGGTGTGGATTTTGATGTAAAGTGATTGAGAACAAAATGCAGTGAAAAAATGCCTTTTCTTCCGATATCAATCGAAACTTGAGAAAAATGGAGGAAGATTGTTGTGTTTCTTTTTGAAGAGCTTCTCATGATGTTAAATCAGTAGAAAGAAGTGGAAGCGATCTAAGTTTCAGAGATTAATGGTGTTTCACGGGAACGAGATGAGCAATATTTGATCTGTCGATTTACATTGAGAGCTTTGATTCGTGGATACTGCAAATCCATGGCGATTGGGCATTAAATTTGGACATTTTTCACCATTTTTTGGTTTCTACTGTTTTATCTGATAATTTAGTGGCCGCCTGCAATTTTTATTGGAAAAGGAGGCGACAGCTACGACAAAAACAACTGGTACTGGATTTGGACAGTTATTAATGGCGTCTTCTCTTTTATCAATCAATTTCGCTCTCTTTGATTTATCTGTGAAACTCGTCTTCTTTTGCTCTGATTATTGCTGACTTCGAATCTTATTTTCCTGCAAAAGGAAAAGGACAAAAGTAAAAGCAGAAATACTCGTGAAAGTCCATCAGTTCGTCCTGGGAAATTGAATGCCTCGTAGAAAATTCTCAGTGTTCAAGGTTTTACTCTAGAGAGGGACTCTTTCCTTTATCTGAAGACTCTAATGGTGAGATGCAAGAGCAAATGATAATGGTTTGAAAAATAAACAGGGCAATTATGAGACACATATTCTTCATCAAGTGAGAGAAAGAAAAACTAGAAAATGGCCTTTGCGATTACTGTAACTCATGGCTTGATTTTACTATGCGAAATTCTTCTGCTTTTGGCCTCTCTTTCTCTGACAGAAGAAGTTCCCTGCAATTCCTCAGATTATAAGCTGGTCCAAATAGCCTTCAGTTCAGTTACTGGCTTTGATCTTGAGTTCTTAGGAAGCAATTTCACTGTTAATTGCAGCGATCGAATTCGAGAAATTAAGCTGCCGTCGAAGAATCTCAGAGGAAGTGTTTCATGGATGCAACTAAAGAACCTCACGGAGTTGAAGACACTAGACCTCTCCAACAATTCACTTCAGGGTTCAATTCCAGGTAGCTTCTGGTTAATGCCTAGTGTTACTCATCTTGATCTCTCTGCAAATGACTTTGGTGGTATGGTGGGCTCTCTCAGTAAATCTCAAATCCCTCACTTACCTCTTCAACTCCTAAATCTCTCTGCAAATAGGTTCACAAACTCCTTTAATCTCTCTAGTTTCAAAGATCTTAGAGTCTTGGACCTTTCCAATAACAAAATTTCTGAAAGTGATGTTCTCTCTCAGATCTCTGGTCTTAGCAACCTGATCAAGCTCTCTCTTGCTGGAAACAATTTACAGTCATTGCCTTCTTCAGTTAGGGCACTTTCAGGAATCCAATATATGGATCTATCAAACTGCAATATTTCAGGCTCCATTAAACCACTTTCTAGCCTCGGTTCTCTAACCCATCTTGACATCTCCCATAACTCCATGAGTGGCTCCTTCATATCTGATTTTCCTTGCATTTCCAACCTCAAATTCTTGAACGTCTCTGTAAACAATTTCAGTGGTCCAATACGTTCTGATATTTTCAAACGATTTGGCGTATCAGCCTTTATTCAATCTGGGATTTGTAGTTCAGAGTTCAATTCCACCTGTTTGCCTAACCCCCACAAAAACCAAACCCACCCAAAACCTTCAACAAAAGCCAAACCGACCACCAATTCCAGAGCGAAAACCAAACATAAAAGCCGAAAAGGAACCAATATCGCCATTATCGCTTCTCTATCCTCGGCCTCATTCATTCTAGCTCTGGTTATTGCTGTCACCTGCCTTTACAGAAGAAGAAGAAACGCCACCATCAGCAAAAAGTGGGCTATCCCGAAACCCCCATTTACAGTGAAGATTGAAAAATCAGGGCCATTCTCGTTCGAAACAGATAGTGGAACTTGGGTTGCTGATATAAAGGAGCCATCCTCAGTTGCAGTGGTGATGTTTGAGAAGCCATTGATTAGCTTGACCTTCTCTGATCTCATCGCTGCAACAGGCCATTTCAGTAAGGAATCGCAGCTTGCTGAGGCGGCCAGGAGTGGGCCTCTTTACAGAGTGGTTTTGCCTGGAGATATGCACGTCGCCATTAAAGTCCTGGAGAATGCGAGAGAGATGGATAATGTAGAGGCGGTGGCAAAATTGGAGGAATTGGGGCGCCTCAAACACCCTAATGTCATGCCTCTCTTGGGCTACTGCATTGCAGGTACTTCGACTCTTCCCTCCCTCCCCTCCCTTTAATTCTTCCCCTTTCACATGCTTTAATTCCCTTCTTTTTCTATTCTTGAGTTTTATTATTGAGTTATATCAGCCAAAAGTAGTCACAATTAATCTTTGATCATTGGATCTAAAATTGGGTGGGTATTGCATTGGGCAAACTCAAAGTTCAAAACAAATTTTTTCGAACTTTATGATATTTCCAAATTTTTTTTGTACTTTATGATATTTTCAAACTATCGCATAAGTTTTTGTGATCTCATTATATAAAGGTAATATATAATTATTTTTAAAAAATGCACTTTATACAAAATAACACTTTTCTATGACATCGATTTTAAAGATAATGTAGATTTGACATATCTTTTAAGATAAAGAAAAAGTTTATATAAAGATGCAACCTTAAAATATAGTATTAAGGTGCACATAAAAGGTCCATTGTAAAAGATTGTTTTAATGTTGAAAAATCCTATAATTGATCATCTCGATATCGAGGTATATGAATATGGCAAGAAATAAAGATTTCAAAGTCCTAAAAATAGTCTATCTTGTAACACATTATCTAGACCGTCAATTTTCAAGATTTTCATGTGTTTATATATATACTTGATTTGAACCATTTTTGGAATTTAAGATTTTATAATTAGCGATGAAAATAGATTCTCAAGCTATTCTAATAGTTTTTTACACCAAAATTATATTTATGATAGAATTTGGAGGTGCACCTTAATTTGATTGTTTAAAATTGTAATCTTATACAAATCATACCCTTTAAGATATTATCAAAAGGAAAAAATTTATATAGGGTTGCAACATCATACTATTGAAATAAGGTGTACCTCAAAAATCCCGTAGAAGAGAGCATTCAAAATTTTGAAAGCATTGTAATTGAAGATCAATCTTGAGATACATAGAGATATAAAGAAAAAAGAATTTCATATCTTAGTAACACTATTCCAGAAGGTCTATTTTCAAGATTTTTTAATATTTATAGATTTGCTCAATCCGTTCCATTTTCTGAAATTTTAAATTTCATAATTTGAGTTGAAAATAAATTTTCAAGCCATTGTAAAGCTCCTAACACTAGAACTACGTTTTCTGACACCTGAACTATGTCTTCTGACAAAATTTAGAGGTGCACCCTACTTGTATAGTATTAGGTGGATACCTTATATAAATCTCGCATCTATATAAGGTGGCAACCTTATATTATAGGAAGGTGTGTAGCATTTTAAGTTTAAAAACCTTCTAATTGATCATCTCGACCTTAAGACATATGGACACAAAGAAAAAAAGAATTTCAAGTCCAAAAAATAGTGCATCTTGTAATAAGTTTACTAACAATCAGTTTTCAATTGTTTACAAATTTGTTCGATATGCAATGTTTCAGAATTGGAAATTTCATAATTATGGTTGAACATGGATTTTCAAGGGATATTCAAGCCATCATATAGTTTCGGACACCGGAACTATATCTTTTGGCAAAGTTTAGAATATAAGGTAGGCACCTTATACAAACTTCACCCTTATAAAAAAGTAGCGCATCTTTTAAGCTACACCGTCCAAATATAATAGATGGTATAAATTATTTCAACTTCACTTACTAATCTATAAGTTAGGTTGCAACCTTGATATAAACTTCTTCTTCTAAAGAAGTGGTAGCATATAAGCATTTATCAATTAGAGGAAGCTGCACTTCTTAACCCTAAATAGATACACTTTATGCATTTTAGGTGTTGAAAATCCCTATCATCATCTTAAATTCTATTTTGACCCCTAACTATAACGTTCAAAGCTTAGAAAATATTGCAGATTGAGTAGATCTTCAAGTAAAAATTGATATTCCAAGCCATATATTACAAGATGCTCTATTTTTAGGTTTTGAAGTTATTTTTTATATCTATGTAACTCGATATCGAGATGATTATTAACTTGAGGGTTTTGTCAATGTCGGAACAACCTCACCTGATGGATTTGTGAGGTGCTCTTTACTTTTATGGTGTAAGGTTGACGCTTTTTATGTAACGAAAATTGTTTCATGAGTTAGTAGGCTCTTCTAAACGTCTATCTTAAAGATGGCTGTCATCTACACCGTATTGTCCATAAATAAGATATGAACGGTACATAAAAAAACTAAAAAGTTATATTTTTAATTTTAAAAAGTTATTTTTTTTTCATATTCATGATCATCTTGTCCTAGATGATAAATCTACAAAAAAAATTAGAAAAACAAAAATCATCTAAAATGAATTTTAGTAGGGGAGCCGTATATGTACATATGAGTCGGGCGACTCATAGAAACCCTATCATTTATATAAACTAAAAGATCATCCCTGGAGAACAGGGAACGGATTACCTACTCCTAAATAGGGATCTAGGTCTTACTATTGTTTTTTTTCTCCTTCAACTGCTATAGATCGATTCACTGGATGGGCAATCCAAAACACAAGTTTTAAAGCATGGGTTAGGTGTAGTATGATCGAATGAGCTGTGGAGAAATTACGGTTATTAGGGTCTTCCCTATATGAAGAAATGGCCTTCAATATAGCGGGGATGGGACACGCATGACTTTGGGAGGTTTCACTATCCCTCCATTGTTGTAAATAGGTAGTGATGATTGTTGAATTATGATTAGTTCAGACCAGTGTTTTAAAAAACGCCGAGTCGAACCGGACTCGCCCGGTTCGACTCGGAAATAGTGAAAATGGGACCGGATCGCCTAAAAAATCGGAAATCGTCCGGTTCTAGAGAGAACCACACGATTCTTTACAGTGAATCACCGATTTACTGTACGGAATAGGCCAGTCCGTACGGATATTTTTTTTTTTTTTTTGTTGTTGTTGTTGTAATCCATGATAGATTTTTTTGTAATACTTGATCGATTTTTTTGTAATCCATGATCGAATTGTTTTTGTTTTTTTGTAATCTATGATCGAATTTTTTGGTTTTTTGTAACCCATTGTAGAATTTTTTGTAATCCATGTTCGAAATGTTTGTTTTCTTTTCTTGTAATCCATGATCGATTTTTTTGTTTTTTTTTTGTTTTTTGTAACCCATGATA